GTGGAGGGGGTCAATGGGGGGGAAAAAAACTTTCAACAAGAAATTTTAAAAAAAGGGCAATAATCCAAAGACCCAAGCTCAAATTCATTCTTTAATAATATAACACTGCATTATAAAGTCCTTTTGCTAGTACTGACATTGTAGAAATAACTCTTTAGAATGTAAGAACTGGAAGAATGCGAGTTGAGACTGAGAGCAGATCTTACCTTTCACTCTGTATACAGTAAAATGGCACTTGAATAATATTGGCATTTCCCAAATTATCAGTTTTGCAATTTTAGCACCAAACACTCCTAATCAATAGTTTCCTGTTTTGAGAACTATTTCATATCGTTCAAACATTTCATCTACTGTGTATAACTCAGTATTTTAAAAGTGGAATCGTATTTGCAATGTACTGAAGCAGGTCATTTTCTTTTCTTCTTTTTAGGAGAGTGTTCCAAAAGTGGGGTCGATTCAGCCCCCTCACTGTGCTTTCTTTTTTTTTTTTTCTTTTTATGGTCACTTTGGTAACCACTGGAGTCACTGCCGTGGAAAACAGGGTCCTGGTCCTGATCCTCCTGCTGCTGCTTCCTCTTCTTCCTCTTCTCCTCCTTCGGCTCATCCTCCCAGAGGCCGTTCCCATTGTCAGCGACCTGCAGGCCTGTGTCCCCCTCCGGGGCGGCCTCTGCAGAATGGGCCAGCTCGGGGGCTCCCCCGTCTCCTTCATCCAGCTCTGGGCCTTTCTTCTTCCTCTTCTTCCTCCTCTCCTCCTTCGGCTCTTCCTCCCAGAGGCCGTTCCCGTTGCCAGCAACCTGCGCGCCTGTGTCCCCCTTTGGGGCAGCCTCTGCGGAATGGGCCAGCTCGGGGGCTCCCCCGTCTCCTTCATCCAGCTCTGGGTCTTTCTTCTTCCTTTTCTTCTTCTTTGGAGGTTTCTCAACAGCCTCTTCGGTGCCAGTTTCTGTTACTTCTTCAGAAACTGCAGAGCACTTGGTTTGTAAACTATAAATGGGGTTTAAAAATTTACACAGCAATCAGCCAAAATAAGAGAACAAAAAGAGATCAAGAGCATTCTAACCTGCTGTGCTTTTTCCAAGTGACAGCAGTCAGACAGATGGCTATGGTGCACATTCACAAACTCCTTCCTATTTCCCTCAGCCCTTTGAAAGGTTAAAATTACTGTCTCCTAAGCACTTCTCCTAGACTGTTTTCTCGCATAAGAATGACACAAAAAGGCCATCAAAACATGGCTTCTAAATTTTGGTTTTGCTCAGAAAAATCTGGTCACTGAACACAAAACATCATAATACCCCCAGCTTATTAGCCAACCACTGACATACAACAGAGAGAAAATAAACTTATGTTATGTATCAAAATAATGGAGTTTCCTGTCTACCTTCTCTGTTCTTGTTTCAAATAATAATTCACTGTTCTTCACCTGTGCTAAAGCATGTTCCTTCACAATTGTGAATTATTTCATTTCACTAAACTAAAAACAAGGCTTAACGGAGCAGCCTTCTTTCCAGAACTGCAGAGTCCTGCCGAGCAGCACCAGCCACACGTACCCATTTAAATTTAAGTAATTTCAATGAGATAACCTTAAAAATTCAGTTCCTCGGTTACACTAGTCATGTTTCCAGTGCTCGATCGTGAGGCTACTGAACTGCACAAACACAGCACATCACGGAAAGTTCTCTTGGAGAGCTGCTCTGGAGCTTTAACCCACACTCTCCTTACTTATCAGGCCAGAATCTAGAAAAGTTGTTACATGAACATCAGCAGTATTCCAGGAGCTCCCCAGCCCCCATTAAAGTTGGCTCCTATGGAGCCGAGCTCAAGATTCAAGATGAGAGCACTTCTTACAAGAATTTCAATATAGAGAAACACAGAAATCAAGTTGTCCACCTGGCATCATGACAATAATCAAATTATTTCTGTTTCAATCATGTGAAAATAAAAGCAGACTAACAGTTATGCAATATGATTAAACTTTTAGTTTCAAGCTCAGGGGTTAACTATTTAAAAAATTAAGAAAAACTAGAAACTACACAGCAAAACTGAGTTATTAAAATACAGACCAGTTAGCTAGATACAGAGCTTTAGAATATTTAATGCACTGTCTTAGCACTTAAGATTACTATTCACAATGGCTTTCTGGTTTGAAAGCATAAATATTCTAATAAGCAAAATTAATTCTTTTAAAGAGGGCTTATGGTCTCTAAATTCAGAATTAAATAGAAACAAGTATCAAGATGACAATAATGTGATTAGAAACTGACCTAGTAATATTTAGTTTTCCCCGAATGCAGAATACTCCAGCAGCATCTGAGTCTAAACGAAATACTTCAAATTCCAGTTCATCACCCACGTTTATCTCCAGGGTCTGCCACTGCTCAGCTGGCATCTGCTCAGGTTTAGGGATGGAGGCATTGAAACACCCGTGCACTAAACAGCCAATGTGGCTGGAAGACACTTTATTAACTGTACCCTGAGAGGAAAAGAGAAGAGTATAACATCAAGAAGAGATCCAAAGAGTTAACAGGGAAATCAAACTTCATAAACTTCAACCTGATCATCAAAGAGAAAACATCAAAATAATGGTATAATTTGATATGGAAAAAGTTTATCTCAAAACTTAACACATGTTATACTAAAGCATTGTTTTAGAACACTGTAGAGTTTTTAGAAAGCTCAAACTTGGTTAAATAAGTAACCGCATATCAATTGCCTAACTGGATAAACAATTACCCTACCCTCCACCCCTCAAAACCCACCTTAGCTCCCATTTCGAGGTTCCATGGGGAGCAGACTACTCTATAACCATACTGAAACCAAGCAGAAATTACTCTTTGATATGACCTACATGTGCAAAGGCTTCAAGGCAGGAAGCATATGCTTTTTATCACTAGGATCCACTTTGTATATCTATAAACAGTCTGAACTTCAAAGCTTCAAGAGCATTCTTTAATGATTAAGTTTAGGATGATGTAAGAAGTCCTATTAGAAGACTGTTTCCCCTTTATATGTAAATCTTGAGCACAGTTGTTTGAACTAAATCACAGAAATACTAAAAGCTTTAAAACTAAGATAAAAGTATGTGCTATAGAATTTTAAGCTTGAACTGAAAACTTTCAAAGTACTTAGTTTTCTGTCCTTCCCCTAGCAATCAACATAGATAAGGTATACGAATAAAAACGTAAAATATTTTTAAAATCATATATTTTGAATTATAGAATTATAAATAACATTAACATATATACAGTGCTGTTTAATGTCAGCAACTCCTTATACATATAATAGAATAAAACTTCCTGGTCAGTCATTATTGGAAGACTGGTGTCCACAATGACCCCTTCTACATGGTCTGGACAAACTGTGGTACATCTGTAAAATGGAGTATTATTCAGATATAAAAAGAAATGAGCTATCACGCCATGAAAAGATATGGATGAATCTTAAATGCATAAATGGTAAGTGGAAGAAGCCAATCTGACAAGGCTACATATTGTATGATTCCAACTATATGACATCCTGACAAAGGCAAAACTATGGAGATGGCAAAAAGATCAGAAGTGCAGGGTTTCAAAGGGAGGCATGGATAAATAGGTGGAGTACAGAGGGTTTTGGGTCAGGGACCGAATATTCTATAGGATACTGTAACGGGATACATGTCATTATACATGTGTCAAAACCCACAAAAATATACAACACAAAGAGTGAACTCTAAAGTACAGACTATTTAGTAATAATGTATCAATATTAGCTCAACAACTATAACAAATGTACCACACTAACAGAAGAAACAGTGCATTTGTTCCATTTTTCTATATGTCTAAAACTGCTGTAAAAAATCAAGTCTACCAATTAAAAAATATTCACCAGGGAAAGTCTTTTCAATATATGGGTCTGGAATAACTGAATAGCTAATGGACAAGAAAATGGATCTCAAGGGCCTGCCTCACACTATATACAAAAATTAAAGCTTGATCACAGACCTAAATGGAAAAACTAAAACTACAAAAATTATAGAAACTTCTAAAGAATATCTTCAGAACCTAGGAGTGGGCAACTTTCTTAGATAGGGTACATAAAACAATAACCATAAAAGTATATATGATGAATTGGACCTCACCAAAATTAAGAGCTTCTGGAAATGCTAGTTAAAACTATTATAAGAAACCACTATACGTCCACCAGTAAAATTAAGACGGATAGCACCCAATGTTGGGAAAAATGCAGAGCAACTGCAAGTGCTGAGTGGGAATTTAACAGTCGTTTTTCTAAAGTTAAACACACCTCTACCCTGCGACCTAGCAATACTGCTGCTAGTCTTTTACCTAGGAGAAATGGAAATGTATGTTCACAACAGCTTTATTCTAATAGCTCCAAGCTGAAAACTTCCCAAATCTCCATCAATGAAGATGGATAACCAAACTGTGATATATTCATATAATTGAATATCATGAGCAATAAAAAGGAACAAACTACAATACACGCAAAAGCATGAATGAAACCCGTGTTGAGCCAAAGAGGTATTTTAGAGTGTATAATGAAAAATTCTATTACTATGGAATTATAGAACAAGCTAAACTAATTTGTGATCAATGAAATCACAACAGTGGTTGTATCTAACAGAGAAAAGATTAATTAGGAAAGGACACACAATGGTATATGCCTTTGTCAAAATTCTTTGGTTTGCACACCATGACCTGTACATTTTATTGTATGTAAATTATATTATTAAAAATAAATAAAAATTGGGAAACTGACTGGTCAAGCATATTTAAGGACTGGATCTTGTTGTAGAGGACAGAGTAAAAGGGATAATTTAACTTTTCATTTTACATTTTCTTTACAATTAAAATGTTATTTCCATGGACATATTTACATTTGTGATAATTTACACAAAACAGATGACAGTAAAATTTGGGAATTTTTAAGTACAAATCTAGTGCCAACTTTAATAGTATGAAGGCTGGTTGTAGGATTCCAGTTTGGCAGTATGCTATTTCTTCCTGCTTAATTGATACTGAAAAACAAATTAGAAATGCCATGTAGATTTTGTCATAGTGAAATTGAACCTATATTTTTATTAACAGTATCAAGGCTTAGTTATTATCATTAGATTAAACAATTCCTATAAAACTTTTTAGGAAAGAACTATTTACATATACATATGAAAGTATATACATATATGGACATATACACACAGAACTGCAAGTGAAGAGAATAAACGGAGACATTTCAGTAGATTTCACATCAATTTCTGCATTTCCAGCTTCTCTTGAAAAAACGAAAAGGCCTTCCCCACAGGTCCTTTATCTGAAGGCATAGTATGAGTACCCTAACTGCCCTCCATTCCTGATTCATTTTCATTACCTGCCTGGTCCCATGATTTGAATTTGCAACTCCTGTTCTATACACTATTATATGGTTTGAATCTTTTACAAAGAAACTGTATTTACGTATAACTGGTGCTATATGAAGAAAATAATAAATTGGATGGACAGATACTCTATACATGGACATAAGTTTTAGGGTGATGTGATGAAGTTTTAAAACTTACCTAGGTTGAACTGATGGAAATTAATTCCTTTTATCTTTTCAAATAATTTTTAGTTACCCACAATAACAGTCCCAAGGTGTACAGTCTCTTAAGTTTCCAAATTACATAATTATATAACTATACAAAGAAAGGTAGAAAAAAAGATATATACATACCATAAGCTTCTGCCCTGGTTCAGGGCAGAAAATAATGAAATCGGCTTCAATATTAAGGTGAATGTGTCCTTGGTCATCATAAATATCTCCCAGCTCACCCACTACTTTGATGTTATCATATGCAATGGGCACACCCAAAAGGCTGTTTAAAAAAAAAGAAAGATGGTATCTTTTATTCTTTTTAAACTAGCCATTGTCATACTGGTTAGACAGATATTCTGAGTCCAAAAAGTATATCTCCTAAATAAAACCACCCAAGCCAAAAACACTATATAGCATATGGTTAATCTGTAATAATGTTAGTAGTCCAGTTTCCCAAGGTTTCCATATGTTTTGGCTAAGTTAAAAATGATTACGATAGGTGCCCAGTAATGTCCAATTGTGCATGAGCAAAAAGTTGATCCGTCTTCTCTTTGCTATTCACTTGGATTCTGGTCATGCTAGAATGAGAGAGAAAAAATAGTACTCGGCAAGAAAAATATCTTGTGTATTTTTGTGAGCACGACTGAATCAAAGCAATTTTGGTATTATCCAGCATTACCGAATTTCTGTACTAGATGGCACATAGCAAGAGAAGTATTGGGGTTAAAGCTGAAGCCCCCGAATATTAAAGCCAATGACTTAATAGAGAAAAATCCTACACTGCAACTGTTGCTAGAAAGTGGAAATGCTAAGAAATACAACTGTATCAGTTTTGGAAAATGACATCTTAGCCTACACATTTGACAGACAGGATTAGGGGGCAACCACTGTTGCAAAATGTCACTTCCAAGTTCTCAAGGAATTGTAGCTACTAGAGAGGCACACCTGGTGGCTTCCACCACCACACCCACTACTGGTTCCAGAAAACTTGCCGGACTCCCCCAGACAAGGCTGAAACCTATCAGTCCTCTACTCCTATAGGACTCATGGTTCTTAATCTCATTTTATTGAATCTATCTGTATATATGTTTGGATTCCACATCAGATCCTTGAGAGTAGAGAACATTTTTGTTGAACTCAATAATCTAGAATAATTCACATAGAATGAAAGAATTTATCCTATGAATTTAAGTAAAACAGCCAGGAACCACTGGGAAGGAACTTTAATAACTACTAAATCAGGAAAAACTTAAACTCAGAGACTTCCTCCAGAAAGCACCTTTTTGGCTTGTTAATTTCTGCATGTGGCTTTCCTAAGCAGGAACTACACCATCACTAAAACAAAATTAGGGGCACAGAAAACACAAGAGTTAGCAAAGGGAGAGGGGAAGGTAGCTGCCATGTTACACAGAAAAACAAAATTAAGACTTTGTTTCCCCTAATCAATGATTAGAGTCTCAAGTGGGCAAAATGCTGCAGTCCCCTAGGGGGCATTTGGGGATTTGTGGTGCTGATCATGGTTGCCACAATCACTGGCTAAGGCCGGGCTATGAGACATTCTGCCATGTGCAGAACAGTCCTGTACAATGAAGAAATGTCCCTAGCTCTACATCACTTTTGAATGAGGAGATAGAATGATTTATTAATAGCTGGGCACAGAATTTAACTTAAAAATATATATATATATATTAACATTAAAGTAATTTTGCATGGTTTTAATATGTATTAAAAAACCAGGAATATAGCTGGATTCAGGGGATAGACTGTTTTGTGTGGAACTTTACCAAGACTCCCCCATTGTTTCAGAAAAGCACTGCACCACTGGAGACACAGTGTTTGTGAGGTGTCAACCCAAAACCCGTGCACATCAATGTACATCTGTAAGTGACACATTCACAATGATCCTAGGTATAGGGTGGGAGGCAGCTAACTACTTCAGGCTTCCCAGGTAATCATGCTTGAGCATTACCACATTGAAATGCATTTTACTGTACTGTGTGTAAATCCACCCGTTTGAGAAAGAAACTCACTGCATGAAACTTACTAAGTCATCAGATACGCAATTAAAATACCTTAACTGTGTTCACCTTCTCTTGCTTTTGTTTTTCTGCTTCCATCCTAAGTAGGTTACAGGTCAGGGTGGTAGCCTCACTTTAGACAGTTAGACAACAATTAAATCAAGTTTAAGGGATGCTTAGATTGCACATTTAAGGCTTCTATAGAACTAGTGGGAGGGAACATATTTGCCACCTTCAAATAACTCAGGAGCTGTCATATACAAGAGAAGTAAGATTTTTTTTCTTAATGGCCTCTCAAAGATATAACTTAGAAGTTACAATATGATTTTAGAAAACTACTTTCTCTAAGCAGATTTTTCAAAACTGATATGGGATGGCTTTATAAAAAACTTACTGGGGAAAAAGGGTGGGAAGTCAAATAGGGTATGCTGTTGAGATAACTTACACACTAATAAGAGCCATTCTCAAGTCCTCCCTTTTCCTCATTTGTTAAACAAAGAGAAGCAAGTCCTCTAGCTTCCACAGGATGGCCCCCATCTGGAAACAAACCACTACATGGATATATAGTAGATTGATATTACAATTCCTGCTAGGTTCAATGTTTTGTCCCTCATTAGTAATGCAGAGTTCAATGTGTGGTGCCTGACTTTGCACTGAATACACCGGAGTCTTTAGCACACCCCCAAAGGAAGGTGTGTGTGTGTGGAGGGGGGTGTGTCTAGATCTATTCAGTGTAACCTACTCTATAAACTGAATTGGCCACATTGTCCAATTCATTTATAGAAATCATCAGTCAGTCAGTTCCTAGTCTCTTTGGTGGAATGGCTCCTATTGGAGAAACTTGGGTGAGCTTGCCCTAGCCTGTCAGGTGGGGGCATTCCTGGATTACAGAAAGTTACAAAATACATCGAATAGTTGCCTATGTATCCACATTTTATGACCACCTAGTACATCCATCCTCTCTGAACTGGTCTCCTGTCTACTGTATCACCCTCCTTCAACCATCATCTACCAAATCATAATCAGATTTGCAGTTTAGTTTCTTAAACTGCAAATTAGATTATGTCCCAGAGATCGGGAATATGTACTACTTTCTCAAGAGTGTGCCTAGTTTCAGAATTGGAGGGGACTGCTAACCCTGCTTAAACAAAAAGAAGAAAGAAAAAAACCTGGCAAAGGCAGGAAAGAAGAGCAAAATGGCCATCCTCTCTGGGTTGTCCCCCATGTGGTCTTTGACCCACTGCGCTCCTCTCCAACTGTGCCCATCGTCTTTCCCGAGGTAAACCTTACTCCAGTTACTTAATACCTACAATGCTCTGGTCAAAGCATTCTGTTTCACACCCATTGTTTATGCCACTCTTTTTGCCTGGAATGGTACCATCTCAAAGAATCCTCCTCCTAGGAAGTGTTCTAAGGTCCTAAGATCGAATTCAGAACTCCTTCTCTTATTATAATTTAGATTTCTGCCAAATTTTAACACCTCACTGCATTTGGTTTGCATGTACAGGGTGTGCCAAAAATAAAATGTATATACACTTTAATAGCTGATAGCTCAACTGATGTTTCTTTCTTTTCAGACTTAACCCACTGGAATTAATAATTATTCAAAGTCTATATACATTTTTGAGGACACTCTGTATATCCCTACTAGAGCTTCAAGTTCCTTAAGGCACTGATCTTTGTTTCTTCTTTGTTTTTTACACCCCAACTCCCTCCTTTACAAAACAGACACAAGTGTGTGCTGGCGCTTGGAAGAAGCTGTGTACTCTGTTTGATTCTTAACATGTGCAGGGTTCAGGATTCCTTGGGAAACTGGCGAAAGATTTGGCTACTTTGACCAAGAAAACTGACGTAGGAAATTCCTGAAGAGTAACAAAAGCAGTCACTAGAGAGGGCACTCACCCTAGTGTCGAGCCCCTGCCTTGGAGCCCAGCCGTCCAGAGGAGCAGTCGATGCATCTACCTACCCCGCCCCCGCCCCGCTGCTCCGGCAACCCCGTTTCCCAGTTACTCCTGAATGTCTGATTCAGATGCACCAGGTCTGGGGTTTCTTTTTCACTCTCAAGAGCCATAGGCGGGTCAGTTAAGACCAACTAAACTGACTGCTCTTAAAGACAAAACAAACACAAGCTAATAGTATTTCTCTCATCCCCGATCAGGTCCGAGAGACGAGGCAAGTCCCGGGGCCATGACAACAAAACCGCCCTTCGCGGCTTACAAATAAAAACTGTGCTACGGCGTCCATGTCCTACAGGATGAGGGAGGGTCCGGGAAGCACCGCGTTCCCAGCTTCCACACACAGAACCGGGCCAGCGCGGCGTCTCCAGACGCCCGGGTCTTCTCTCCACCCCTACGGCCAGCTTCCGGGGCGAGCGTCCCCAAACCCTCCCCT